CCATGACATCTTTGGGATCTCGAGTTATGTACACAATCTTACAGCCTGAGGTTTTGATGGATTTAGACAACATTCCATAAGGTACATGAGTTTGATATAATCTTGGTCAACCTCTTACAGTTGGACACGGAATTGGGCTTGCTGATGCTTTTGCTGGGGTGAAAATTTGGATCTCAAGAGATGGAATTGTTAGAAATTATTTACTATCGTTAGTTAATCATATTTGTTTGTTTTGTTCTACCTAATTAGTGGAGTTAGTGGAATTAGTGGAGTAGTTAGTGGAATTAGTGGAGTAACTAGTGGAGTTAGTGGGATAGTTAGTAGTGTTGTTTTGAACTTTATAAATAGAGCAATTTCATATTATGAGTCAAGTCAGTTTTACAAAGAAATAAATACTTATCTTTTGCTTCTTTTATTATTTTTCTCAATAATTGTAACAATGGTATTAGAGCTAGGCTCGTGAGTGAAAACAAAAATGAGTTGTGAGAACTGTGTTGGTAAATTATGATGGCCACTGACAATTTTGTCCAGCCAACAATTCTTCGCTTTGATGGTCACTATGATTATTGGAGCATGCTAATAGAGAATTTTTTGAGATCCAAGGAGTATTGGTAGGTTGTCAAATCTGGAGTAGCAGAGCCAACAGCCGGAATAGTATTTTCAGAGGTGCAGAAAATGGAGTTAGAAGCATTGAACCTGAAAGATCTTAAAGCCAAAAATTATCTTTTTCAAGCTATTGATCGAGCCATTTTGAAGACAATTCTTAGCAAAGATACCTCCAAACAAATTTGGGACTCCATGAAAAAAAAGTATCAAGGAAATGTGAAGGCAAAGCGGGTGCAGCTTCAAACTCTTCGGACCGAATTTGAGACTTTATACATGAAGTCAAGTGAGTCGGTTACAGATTAGATTGCAAAAATAATGGCAATTGCTAACAAGACAAGAATCCATGGAGAGAATTTGGAGGACGTCACCATTGTCGGGAAGATTTTTCGATCAATGACAACAAAATTTAATTTTGTTGTATGCTATATAGAGGAATCGAAAGATATTGATGCAATTTTAATTGATGAGTTGCAGTGTTTTTTGTTGGCTCATGAGCAAAAAGTTAACCAGCAAGAGAAAGAGGAGCAAGCATTGAAGGCTTCAACAGAAAATCACTCAACATGGAGAGGAGGTAGAGGCAGAGGCAGAGGTAGAGGAAGTAATGATCGTGGTAACCAACAACAACATTACCGGCACCAAGAAAATCAATTTCAAGGAAGAAGAAGAGGATGGAGAGGCCATCCATCAACAACTCAAAGGCTAAAAATAGTAGATAAGTCCAATGTTGAATGCTACAAATGTCATAGACATGGCCGTCTGAATGTCGAATTAATTTGAATAGACAAAATGGAGAAATGACCAATTTTGTAGAAAAAGAAGAAGTGTCTCTTTTGATAGTGTGTCACATGAGTTAAGAAACTCAACAAAACATGTGGTATTTAGACACCGGTTGTAGCAATCACATGTGTGGAGATAAGAAGGCATTCTCTAAGTTGGACGAGTCATTCCGTAATACTGTCAAGTTTGGTGATAACTCTACAATTTTCTTTATGGGAAAAGGAAGGATAACTATCCAAACTAAAAGAAATTCTTCTTCTCATACTATCACTGATGTCCTTTTTGTTCCAGACTTAAAGATAAAATTTGCTTAGTGTGGGTCCATTGTTAGAAAAAGGGTACGAGATTTCTATCACTGGGAGTGTTTGGATACCAAAATTATTCCAAATAATATTTCGCTTGCATCACAAACACATTTCCCAACCTACCTTTTTATATTCACAATCACCTTTTTATCTCACATACATCAAATCACAAAAAGTGCTACAGTAATTATTTCAAATAATATTTCAAATAATACACTATCCAAACAAACCCGTGTATGTCGAATTTGAGATGCAAAGTTGGGCTTAATTGCTCAAGTTAAGATGACGGCAAATCATATGTTCTCACTCTATTTGCAAAACTTGACTCATTCATGTTTCTTAGCAAAATCGAAAGATGTGGCATGGTTATGGTATTTTCGTTATGGACACCTGAATTGTGGTGGATTAAAGACTTTGCAGCAGAAAAATATGGTGGTTGGTCTACCTCAAATAACAATTCCTTCAGAAGTTTGTGAAAAATGTGTCATTGGCAAACAACATTGGGATAGTTTTTCAGAAGGAAAATCGTGGAGAGCAAATGACGTATTAGAGCTAGTTCACTCTAATTTATGTGGACCCATAAATCCATCATCTAATGGTGAAAAATGTTATTTTATGACGTTTATTGATGATTATAGTAGAAAAACTTAGGTCTATTTTTTGCAGGAAAAATCTGAAGCATTTTCAGTTTTCAAAAATTCCATGACTCTTGTCGAAAAGGAAGCAAGCAAGTCCATAAAATTTTTTTGCAGTGATCGTGGTAGAGAATATAACTCACAAGAATTTATAAAATTTTGTGAGCAGTATGGAATTCAGAAGCAGCTTATACACCACAACAGAATGGTATTTCAGAGAGGAAGAATCGTACAATATTGAACATAGTGAGGAGCATTTTGAAAAAAAGTGGTGTTCCCAAAAATTTTTGGCCTGAAGCTGTCAATTGGAGCATTTATTTATTGAACAGAAGTCCCACACTTGCTATTAAAAATATGACGCCTGAGGAAACATGGAACAGATGGAAACTAGTAGTGGATCATTTCAGAATTTTTGGATGCAATGCCTATGCTCATATTCCAGAGCAAAAGAGGACAAAATTAGATAATAAGGGAGAGAAATATATTTTTTTTGGTGTTAGTGATCAGTCAAAAGCTTATAAGGTTTATAATCCTATCACTAAGAAAATTGTCATTTATCGGGATGTAATTTTTTATGTAGAAAATTTTTGGCTATGGAGCAATAATGTTCTTAAACAACAAATACCTGCTGATTTTGATGGAGTTGATGAAGAAAACATGCAGCAATTCTACCACATGGTCAAAATGATGTACCAAGTTCCCAAACAGTAGCAGAAGATGAAGGATGGTCTCAACGTATTAGAAAAAGACTTGCATGGATGATTGATTATGAGGTAACTGGAATCGACCAATCTGAGGATCCACTTACATATTTTGTTCTATCTTTTGATTGTGATCCTACAATCTTTGAAGAGGCTATCAAAGATTTAAAGTGAAAGAAGACAATGGATGAAGAAATTGCAGCTATTGACCGAAATAACACATGGGAGTTAACTGATCTTCCAGAATGACAAAAATCAATAGGTGTCAAGTGGGTGTACAAGACGAAATTAAAAGAGAATGGAGAAGTTGACAAGTACAAGGCACGTTTAGTAACTAAAGGCTATAAGCAAGAGTTTGTGGTGGATTATGGAGAAATCTTTGCTCCAGTCGCAAGGCATGACACGATCAGGATAGTGATTGCATTGACAGCACAACATTCATGGCCTATCTTCCAGTTGGATGTGAAATCAACATTTTTACATGGTGATCTATAAGAACAGGTATTTATTGATCAACCTTCTAGTTATGTGAAGGTTGGAAGTGATCATAAGATGTATAAATTTAAAAAAGAATTATACGGGTTAAAACAAGCCCACATACTTGGTATAGTCGTATAGATGCTTATTTTTCTAAGAAGAGATTTAAAAAACATCCATATGAGCATACACTTTTTATAAAGATTGGAAATGGAGGTAAATTGCTCATTGTTTGCTTATATGTTGACAATCTTATTTTTACTAGAAATGATAGTGCCATGTTTGAGAAATTTAAAAAATCAATGATAGCTGAATTTGATATATCTGATCTTGAAAAGATGCATTATTTTTTAGGCATTGAAGTGATGCAATCTGCTGCTGGAATTTTTGTCTCTTAAAGAAAATATGTGCTAGAAATTCTGAACAGGTTTCAAATGCAGAATTGTAATTCTGTTAGTATGCCAATTGAAATGGGTTTAAAACTCATTCGAGAACCTGAAGGAAAGAAGATTGATAGCACCCTTTATAAGCAAATTGTGGGAAGCCTAATGTATTTGACAGCAACTAGGCCTGATATTATGCATGCTGTAAATTTTATTAGTAGATACATGGAAAGTCCAAGAGAGACACATCTTCTAGCTGCCAAGAGAATTTTTCGATACTTTGAAACCATTAAATATGGGTTGTTCTACAAGAATGGTGAAAAATCAAATTTATTTGGTTTTACTGACAGTGACTATGCAGACGATTCTGATGATAGAAAGAGTACGTCTGACTATGTATTCATGATGGGTTCAGCATGTATTTCATGGTGTTCAAAGAAACAACCAATTGTTACTTTATCAACAACTGAAGCAGAGTACGTAGCTGCAACGGCCTTTGCCTCTCAAGCAATTTGGCTAAGGAATATTCTTGAAGAGTTGCATTTTCAACAAGAAGGAGTTACTACAATTTATTGTGACAATAGTTCTGCCATCAAACTCTCTAAAAATCCAATTCGACATGGAAAAATCAAACACATAGATGCGAGGTTTCACTTTCTAAGGGAGCTCACAAGGGATAGAATAATTGATTTTCTCTACTACAAAAGTGAAGATCAAATTGCTGACATAATGACCAAGCCATTGAAGTAATCCATGTTTCAGAAACTAAGGAAGTTGCTTGGAGTTTGTGCAATTGATAAGTCCTATTAAACTGAATGTTTGGAAAACTTTCAGTTTAAAGGAGAGATTGTTAGAAATTATTTACTATTGTTAGTTAATCATATTTGTTTGTTTTGTTCTACCTAATTAGTGGAATTAGTGGAGTAGTTAGTGGAATTAGTGGAGTAACTAGTGAAGTTATTAGGATAGTTAGTGGAGTTAGTGGGATAGTTATTGGAATTGTTTTGAACTCTATAAATAGAGCAATTTCATGTTATGAATTAAGTCAGTTTTACAAAAAAATAAACACTTGTCATTTGCTTCTCTTATTATTTTTCTCGATAATTGTAACAGGAATCAAGTCCTGGGGAAAATTTTCTGCCAAAAGATCATACTGAACCATGGCATCATTGATATTGTTGGTAGTACGAGCAGCATAATTGTCCATAATGGAGACCACAAGAGCTTTAAGCCAAGTAGTTCCCGATTTTGGTTGGGATGAAAGCAGCACGTCATCATCTTGAGCTTGAAAATCTGATTTAGCAGCAATAGCTCCTTCCAGCCAGTCAGGTCTTTGCCAAAATCCATCCTGCTTACAAAGATCAAAAATTCCCCACCACTTTTCCACCTTTGGCAGTTCATCATTAGCAAGGCCACGAGACAAACTTGATGACAAGAATTGGGTTTTGAGCTCATCTGTAACAAGATGCAAAAGATGTAGAAGCATATTGTAGGTTTGAACTCATTGAAATACTCAAAAAGGTGCAATACAACAATATGTCTCAACAAAACATCCATATTCACATTTATAGGTTAGACAAGCACTAATACACTCTAGATATAACCACAATGTTATTTAAGTTCCAAACAAGTTAGCAATTCATGTTTCCTAAAATTGCTTTGACCAACAGAAATTCGACGTATTACTACCTCTTCAAAAGCATCATCAACCGATGTATTACTACATCTTCAAAAGCATCATCAACTTAAAACACATTTTGACTTATAAATTTTGCTCAATATCAAGCAGTGGAACATGAGGTCAATATGAAAACTAAACAAGTGTTGCCTATTCTTAAGGTCTCATCTCCTATCATCAGTCCTTGTAAATAAGCCTTCTCCTCTATCAACAATCTTTGTAATTATGCATGCTCCTCCATCATAAAACAATAAATGATGCTAGACAATTGTAAAATGTAGAAAATACTTCTAAAAGTTCCCAAGTAGAATTTTAAGGGATAATTTCTGAAACCTCAGGGGAGGTTCGCTCTCTATAAATCCAAAATTCTCTCTACCGTCTAGAACACTAATATGGACTACATTGGGCATTAAGTTATGGGTTATCTTCCTTGATTTACAAGTCTGTTTTGCAACTTACTTGTGGCCTCTATGATACTATTATGAGATTAGATGCAAATTTCATGCACTAGTGGTCTTCCTCTATAGCATATGGTAATTCATAACTCTATAATTTGCTTTGAACAAGCATTGGAGGGAAGAATTTGGAGAAAAGAATTGGTAGCGGGAAGTTTTGGGTGTAGATAGATGTATAGAAAGTGTTTGACAGTCTACCTGGCTTGAGAGAAAGCCCCAAGGCATAGGATATCCCCACAAAGTTTGGCTTTTAAATATTTAAAAATCTATATAAAAAAACAAAAATTTCTATAGAAATCACAAAAAGTAATACAAAGATACTCATAAGTACAGCAGAATTAAATAAAATAGAGAAAATTTTGGCTATTATTAAGCAAATTACCGTTCTTCGTCTAAAGTAGACCAAAGTGTCAGTGCAGCCCCTAATAGTCAATGAGCCCCATTTAAGCTGTCTAATTTCGAAATTTTGGTTAGACTGACACCTTCTATCAATTGACATTTGGTCAAATGATGTTTGACAAAACTTCAGTCCTAAATTGAAATCCTACCAAATTTTAGGGACTTTACAATGATAAACTTCTCATCTAAATGAGCTAAACAAACGTAAATTATTTCTCTTTTGACCTAAAACTAAGGTTTTGATGCTATTTTGGATCTTCCAAATCTGATTAGAAAAGTACCGTGCTATCTTTTATAGCTCATTAAGTAAGAGATTAAGTGCTTTGAAGTCAACAAAAGAATTGCCAGAATTTTTTGACAATATGTGAATTGACGTATTTGGAAAAGAATTTTCAATTTGAAGGGCTTAAGTGAAACTTTGTTCACTTTCAAGAGCCATATTGACACTTTAATCTACTTTGAAAGGCTAAATTGAAGTTGACCCATTAAAATTTAAGGAATATGACCAAAAATACGGTAAATAGACAAATGATAGTTCCTTCCTATTTTTTGATGGGTAGTATTACCTTTCTTTGCTCTTTTGCATGACTGAAGCCGCTCTGCCACTACCATTTTTCAACTAATTCCAATTGCAATTCTGATAACAAACGTACCCTTGGAAGCCTTGAGTAGTTTTGACTTGATTTTGGTATTAACTAAAGTGACGAACAAGCGGAGACCTAGTTTAGAATTGAAGAGGGAATTAGGGAATTGGACAGGCAATTATGAATTAGCACTTTTGGAGTTATTTTGTCAAAAGTTGTTGTTGTTGCGGTTTTGTATATAGCTTATGTTAATATTTTCGTAAACATATACTTTAATAGGGAAAAAAAACGATGGGTTTTCAAAGGTGAACGTTTTCTACATCCAAACGCCTGGACATTTACCATAAGGCATGGGGTGAATGCCCAACAAAAGCCCCAAAAAGGCATTTTAAGATGTATATAGCACACTAATTTGTCTGCATTTTTTGCTTCAACAATGGCTTTCATAAGTTTGATTACCGTGATTTATTCTATAATCAGTTCTATGAATTTATTTCAGCCTTTACCATTTTTTTGGTTAATTTTTCTAGCGTAATTTGTTGGTGATGGTGTTGTCACGTATATGAGAGTTTGTCGGGCTGAGGTTTTAAGGGATTAAATGTATGGCTTAGAGGGGAAGAATGGTAGAGTACATGACTTAGTTCTTGATTTAGGTTTAAGGATGATGACGAAGGTGGAGGGCATTGAGGATTTTGTTGGGGACTACTTTGATGAACAAGTATGGTGGTAGTGGTGGCAGATGAACTTCAAAGCTGGTGATGGTTGATGTAGTAGCTGTAGAGGTTGAATACGGGTGTTTTTCTCCTATAAGTTTTTTAACAATTTTAATTATAGTCATCTCAAAAAAATTTTAAAAATTTTTAAAATATACACTTCAAAATAGCTAAAAACACACAAAAAAATTTTCTTTGTTTCCTTTTTTCTTCTTCCTCCTCCATCTCAACCTACTACCACCTCCGCCGCCAACCAACACATCACCACCTCTTTTGGTGTCGGTGTCGGCGCCAGCGTTTACCTTTTTTGACGCTTGCAGGGGTAATTTTTTTCTCCCTCCCTCCCTACCCTCCTCCTCTCCCCCTCCCCTCCTCTTCTCCCCTCTCCTTCACCGCCTCTCTCCCCCTTCACCCTCCCCTCTCCCCCGCCACCTCTCTCCCCTATCTTCCTACTGCTGCCAGCACCCATCGTCGGCAGAGATTTCGCCGCCGAAGGCCAATGACCGGTGAGATGAGGGTGAAGAAGATGAGTCGAAAGAAAAGGAAAAATAAAGAAAGAAAAGGAAAAAGAAAAAAGAAAAAGAAAGAAAGGGAAAAGGAAAAAACGTTTTATATCTTAAAAACTTTTTTTTACAAATTTTACAATAAGTTCCAGTAAAATTTTAGACAAACATTTAAAAAAACTCATTTGCCAAACAGAAGCATAGTTTTGAGGTTATTGAATATGGGAAGCAATTGGAATTGGATATGGATGCTAGCAGTGGCTTGAGTTTCAAAAAATGTGAAAATTAGGGGGTGTAGGTGTAATATAAGGGGTACTATTACTATCTGCTTTTTTAAAAATAAAAAAAAAACTCTCTTGAGAGCTTTCTAAAATTATTCCAATTTTTAATTGTATACGAAACCTTAACTTCCTAATACCCACAAAATTAAATCAAGTCGTCGGAACTTGCTTAAACTTTGAAACACAAATATGGGTTCATGTACTGAATTCTTTGCTTAAGATTTTGTTCTCAATATCCTCAAACTAACCAATACACAAAATAGCTTATTAATTAAATCAACTGTGACAATCCCACCTCTTCCTAGGAAGTACCCCAAGATTTAGCGGACCGCCTGCCCAGGTCTCTTTAGCACTTACTCACTCATTTCAAGAGAACAAGTTATAACTTCAAAAGTAAATGAAACAACAGTTCCCAAATTTAGAATGTACATTTATACCCATTTCCAACTCAAACGTTCATACATGTCTAATTATAAGAAAAGATTCAAATTTCAAATCACTTTCAACCTTAATCGAGCCTTAGTGCGAGTACAATCACAAAAATTCAAAAACTAGACTACGCTAACCTGTACCAGCCTCATGCACGCGCCCGATTCTCCTATAAGGAAAACAAAACTAATAGGGTGAGACAAATCTCAGTGAGGTTCCAAACATCATGCAAGAATCAAGTAGTAAGTTGACCATTATGTAAAACTTGAAATATCAAAGTAGCGACCATAAAAGTTCATAAAAGTTGGCAATAACACTTCAAATAACAAATAATTAGATATCCAACATTTTCAGGTAAAAGGATACAGTAGTTCTTGCAAGTTAACTCCGTCATAGCTTCACCAAATAGTAGTTGACCCTCCGTCAACTTTCAAGTAGAGTAACCAGTCCAGTAGATCATCACTTAACTCCAATCTCCATCTACCAATCAACCCCCTACCGGGTCCGAACTCTAAAATAATAGTGGTGGTAATATTCGAATATACCGAATCCAGTGGACCACATCCAAAAGATTACACAATAAACAATAAATGATAAACAATAAACAGTACCTATGGTTCGCCAGTCTCTTCGACCAAACCCTTATTGGCTCGATTCGACTGACTAATCAATAGGGTTAGGATCCCAAGCAGTATTCAAGTCATGCACATCTATTTATGTCAAACTATTTGTAACCAATGCACTGTAATAAGTCACATTAGGGCAAGTGCGATAAAGTACATTCTTGCCCTATCAAACAAAGTGATTCATTCAAGTAATAAGTTCAAACATGCATTTGAAAACACTCACCAATGATTTATTGCTTTCTAGAACCAAGCTCCAGTTCAACTTCCTGGTTAGAGTCCAAATCTGTGATAAAATACCGTTTAACAATTTGCAATCAACTAGGGTTTCAAAATATGGGAGTTTCGCTTAAAGAAAACCAAGTAAATAGAATGCATTTAAGTGATACTCATTTTTACTTATCAAATTTTAGAAACTTCATGTTCGCTTTTTTTATTTTAATAAAAAAACAATTAAAACTTGTAAATTCGTAACTTAGTATAAGAAACGAGAAAATCGCGTTTAAAGTGGTCGTTACTTTGTTTTTGAGTAATATACACTTTTGGACAAAATTTTCGTTTATAAGTCACCCACAAGGTCAATCTAAGTATCCCTACACAACTAAGTCTCAAATCGAGCACAAATCATACACTTATTTTCGTTTTCACCCACTTATCCTATGAGAGAAAAACCAGCCAACATTTCCTTTGTGTTTACCAATTTTTTCAGCCATTCAAGACTTCATTTTCTTCCCAAATCAGCCCCAAATCAACACTACAAGTAAGAATATAAAGATAGTTCTTAATTTAGGTTAAAACCCATCCAAATTATAACTCATTTCTAGCAAATAATCATTTAATATCAAAGGTGAAAATTTCTTAGGAAAGCTGGAATTTCTCTCTCTTTTTTCTCCTCTCAAGATTCGGCCACCATGAAGAAAGAAATGAAGAAAATTTGGCCAACAAGAAGATAAGAAGAAAGAAAATGGTCTCGGTCAAACATCCCTTTGATTGCCAACACTTGGCAATCAAGTTTCTTTTCTTTTTTTTTTCTTTTCTCACCTTTGCTTAGTCAAAGATTTTGGCTGGATTAAGGGGTAATTTAGGGTTGATTAGATGAAATAAAAATAAGAAAATTAGGGTAAGAAAGTATTGGTCAAGTGGTGTACTCAATCGGTAACAAACGGCACACATCGGTTCAAGCCTATTTCCTTAAATCTCTTGTACTTTTGTTTTAACTTATGATTCACTAACTTATTATTAAACACTTCTAATTACACATACCTCACCAACTTATCACACTACCAAAATGTGCAAAAATTCTAGTTTACCCTAACTATAAAAGTAAAAGTAAAACTTTCAATTCTATAATATATTACAACTATTGAGAGAGTAAATTAATAGTAAGGAAATTATAAATTAACTTATTCAAAATAAAAGAGAATTATAAGGAAAATATAGGTGAATTTTCAAGTCCTCACACTTTATCCCCCTTAAGAGAATTTCGACTTCGAAATTCATACACTTATTCGTAAATAGCTCAGAGTATTTTTTTCTTACATGTCCGTCTCTAGCTTTCAAGTCTCACCATTAGCTAAAATTTTAATCAGACAATGGAAAACACGAATCGTATCTTCCACCACTTTAGACGGGTTAAGCACTTGCTGATGGTTTAAGGTATATACTCTGGCAGACACTCTGAATCTATTCTCTCCTACATTTGGTTGTTTAGGGTTTGACCTATCTAACTATTGAGTCTCACCGAAGAGGGGACAAGTTGCAATATGGTGCTCAGTACTACCACACCATAAACATTTCCGTGCATTTCGCCAACAATTATTCTCAGTATAATTGGTCTTTCCACAATATCCACAGAGGATTGATGTTTGATCTCCTTGTGAGGCACCCCTCAGTTGTCCTCTTCCACCTGGGGTTCCTCTCGAAGTAACTTTCTTAAGTGTCTCCAAAATTCTCATACCACCAGCTCCTCGACCGACCTTAGGGGGTGGCATATCTTGATCACCTTGTTCCTGCCCTTGGTCTTCACCAGACACACCTTTCTTTCTTATATAAAAAGCTTTCACTTGAGCCCTTGCAATTGCTATCCTTTGAGCTTTCTCAAGAACCTCCGTGAAAGTATTAATTTGTGCTATCGCCAAAGCCTCTTGTATCTCTACATTTAACCCCTGTACAAACCGCCTCACCCTCCTTTACTCCGTAACTATTAATTCAGGAGAAAACTTAGATAATTTAGTGAACTGAATCTCATACTCAGATACGCTTAACCTTTCCTGACGTAGCCTATTGAATCGTCCTCCCTTTTCTCTTGAACTATTGGTAGAAGATATTTCTTATTAAACTCTAGCACAAAGTTCAACCAAGTCCACGCTGTCTGCTCTCTCTCCTACTTAGCCCTAATTACATTTCACCAGACTCTGGCTGGTCTCTCAAATTGGAATACAGCAAAATTTACCTGTCTTTCCTCCATATAATTCAAAGCGGCAAAAATATTGATCATTGTTTCCAACCATCTCTCCATTACCTCCCGGTCTGGCCCTCTAAGAAATTTGGGTGGAGAAAACTTTTGAAACCGCTCTAGGGCCCTATTTTCCCCTATTTCAGGGTCCCTAGGCTGATTGACAGGGGTTTGACCCTACTGCTCTACCAATCGAGACAAAATATTAGTTATTTGCTGATTGTTGTTGCTACTTGATCCCCTCCTTCAACCCTCGGTTCAGGTTGTTGCTCGGCCGTCGCATCTTTCTCTTCTCTCGGTTCTTGTACTTGTCTAACCCCACATCCACGGTTAGAACCGCGTTCTCGACTGGTCTCATGTCCCTGATTTCTCCTACCTTCCATGTCTCTTTTTAGAAAATAGACTATATAGGTATAAGCAAAATAAAGTAGCTATAAAACTCGATAAAAGTATTTTCAAATCATAAAATGAAAATAATAGAGTACATTTAAAATAACATACTTTCTTTATATACATATCATAATAATTCACATATCAAGTCATGAAGTACTGCACATATCAATCTAATAAAATCGAGTACTTATAGCAACAAAGAACATAGAACAAAAGTGTACGCTATATATGTCAACCGTAACACGTCAATATCAAAAGCAAAACAAGAAAGGTGACGTGTCATCCCAACCATCCTATACTATGTCCTAACTACCTTGCACAACCTCCAAACCTTAGATCTCTAACTTAGTTTGTCACTGATCCAGCCGACTCCACCACCTCTTCAGGTGCGGCTGGCTCCTGAGTCACTAGGGGCTACATTCCCTTGATTTTCATTGGCCAAGTTCACCTGTACTACTTCCTCCACAAGTGCCCCACACTTAGTCAAAATATTATCGGTTCGATCCCTTACTTCCCTTACTATTCGAACAAGGTGACCATTAGTCTCCTGTGCTTGCTCTCGAAAAGCATTTGTTCGCTCCTGTTCCCCGAGAATAGAAGTCTCGAGCTCCCGAATACTAGCACCTTGCTCTCTCAGCAATGCTCTCAGGCGCTCGATCTCAGTTTGGGCCCTACGATTAGCACTGGCCAATATTTCCCTCTCGTCTTCTATAGCAAGGACCACCCTATCGGGATATGAGTAGGTCTGTCAGCATTCACTGTGCCTGACCCTACGTTCCGGGGCCCAATGAAGTATCGGCCCTTCTGGATGTTCCTGATAGCTAAGCACTGGTCGAGGTTGTTCGGCATTCCCATTCCCGCCATTTCCTTCCATTGCCTACAGTCCAAGTAGCATCAAAAGAATAAGCAATGTAAACAAGTACCACTAAGTTAGTCACCTAATGCCTAGGATTTCACACTTAAACAGCCATACACAAGCTATATCATATACAAGTCATTCATTTTATCCAGACCAATTCAAACCTAGACTCTGATACCACCTGTGATGACCCCATCTCTCCCTAGGGCGTACCCCAGGGTTTAGCGGACCGCCTGCCCAGATTTCATCAGGACTCACTCACTCACTTCAAGAGAACAAGTTATAACTTCAAAAGTAAATGAAACAACAGTTCCCAAACTTAGAATGTACATTTATACCCAGTTCCAACTCAAACGTTCATACATGTCTAATTATAACAAAATATTCAAGTTTCAGAGCACTTTCAACTCTAATCGAGCCTTAGCACGAGTACAATCACAAAAATTCAAAAACTAGACTACGCTAACCTGTACCAGTCTCACACGAAAGAAAATAAAACTAATACGGTGAGCCAAATCTCAGTGAAGTTCCAAACATCATGCAAGAATCAAGTAGCAAATTGACCACTATGTAAAACTTGAAATATCAAAGTAACGAGTATAAAAGTTCATAAAAGTGGGCAATAATACTTCAAATAACAAATCATTAGATATCCAACATTTTCAAGTAAAAGGATACAGTAGTTCTTGCAAGTTAACTCAATCATAGCTTCACCAAGTAGTAGTTGACCCTCCGTCAACTTTCAAGTAGAGTAATCAGTCCAGTAGATCATCACTTAACTCCAATCTCCATCCCCCAATCAATCCCCTACCGGGCCCGAACTCCAAAATAGTAGTGGTGGTAATATTCGAATATACCGAATCCAGTGGACCACATCCAAAAGATTACACAATAAACAATAAATGATAAACAATAAACAGTACCTATGGTTCGCCAGTCTCTTCAACCAAGCCCTTATTGGCTCGATTCGACTGACTAATCAATAGGATTAGGATCCCAAGCAGTATTCAAGTCATGCACATCTATATATGTCAAACCATTTGTAACCAATGCATAGTAATAAGCCACATTAGGACAAGTGCGATAAAGTACACCCTTACTCTATCAAACAAAGTGATTCATTCAAGTAATAAGTTTAAACATGCATTTGAAAATACTCACCAATGATTTATTGCTTTCTAAAACCGAGTTCAGGTTTAACTTCCTAGTTGGAGTCCAAATCTGCGATAAAATACCGTTTAACAATTTACAATCAACTAGAGTTTCAAAATATGGGAGTTTCACTTAAAGAAAACCAAGTAAATAGAACGCATTTAAGTGGCACTCATTTTTACTTATCAAATTCTAAAAAATTCATGTTCGCTCTTTTGGTTTTAATAAAGAAACGATTAAAACTTGTAAATTCGCAATTTGGTATAGAAACGAGAAAATCACGTTTAAAGTGCTCGTTACTTTGTCTTTGAGAAATATATACTTTTGGGCAAAATTTTCATTTATAAGTCACCCACAAGGTTAACCTAAGCATCCCTACATAACTAAGTCTCAAATCGAGTACAAGTCAAACACTTATTTCCGTTTTCACCCACTGATCCTACGAGAGAAAAATCGGGCAGCATTTTCTTTGTTTTTACCAATTTTTCAGCCATTCAAAGCTTCATTTTCTTTCCAAATCAACCCCAAATCAACACTACAAGTAAGAATATAAAGATAGTTATTAATCTAGGCTAAAATCCATCCAAATTGTAACTCATTTTTAGCAAATAATCATCCAATACCAAAGCTCGAAAATTCTTAAGAAAGCTGGAATTTCCTCTTTTAAAATTAAAAAGTCACAATAAGGCTACTAATCACCTCACAAGTCCAAAACCAAGCTCAAAACAAACATGTTATAGTTAAACAACATAAATCAAGGCTGAAAATTGCAAAACCCTAGCTAAAATTTCAATAATCTACACCAAACCTAGAGTATCATCCGTAATATTCCAAGATTCAAGCCATCTATACCATATTTTGCAAGAATAAGAAAGAGAAAGGAAGTTGTTGAACTTATACCTTCAAAACCTCTTGAGAAGTGAAGAACTAAGCTATTTCTCCAAAGAAACTCTCCACTCCAAGCCTCCTAACTCCCTTGGTGCTAGTTTAATCGGTTTAGTTTTTGTGATTTCCACTCAAACAAGGCAAAATCAAGATGGAAATTGAAACTCTCTCTCTCTCTCTTTTTTCTCCTCTCAAGATTCGGCCACCATGAAGAAAGAAATGAAGAAAATTTGGCCAAGAAAAAGATAAGAAGAAAGAAAATGGTCTTGGTCAAACATCCCTTTGATTGCCAACACTTGGCAATCAAGTTTCTTTTCTTTATTTTTTTCTTTTCTCACCTTTTCTTCGTCAAAGATTTTGGTTGGATTAAGGACTAATTTGGATTAGATGAAATAAAAACAAGAAAATTAGGGTAAGAAAGAATTGGTCAAATGGTGTACTCAACCGGTAACAAACGGCGCACATCGGTTCAAGCCTATTTCCTTAAATCTCTTGTACTTTTATTTTAACTTATAATTCACTAACTTATTATTAAACACTTCTAATCACACATATCTCACCAACTGATCACACTATCAAAATAAGCAAAAATCCTAGTTTACCCTAACTATAAAAGTAAAAGTAAAACTTTCAATTCTATGATGTATTACAACTATTGAGGGAGTAAATTAATAGTAAAGAAATTATAAATTAACTTATTCAAAATAAAAGAAAATTATAAAGAAAATATAGGTGAATTTTCAAGTTCTCACATCAACTGCTAATAAAATAGGAATGTCTCACCAGTGATCATTGGCAATAATTAGTCCTTATACAATATTGCATTTAGAAATGCTAAAAGATGTTCATATTTGGATAGTTATTATTTGGTTTCAAATTATTTATTTGCATCACAAACACAATTTTCAACACATTTCTTTTATCTTTCTAATCACTTTTTTATCTCGTACACATCAAATCATAGAAAATACTACAGTAATTATTTCAAATAATATTTTAAATAATCTTCATTCCAAACACATTACAATGATTTTCATGAACTATCTAGCTACAGTAGTAGAAAATTCAGCCCTTGTAAACTTCTTTTCAATTCATGTATCCTAGTTATGTAAATTTTAGAAAATTTTGCCCTTATCAGCTGCAATAGGATGAACATGGACTCCTGAAGTACCATAAATTTGTAGCCATCATGCTTAATGTTAAAGAAAGATTGAAAACCAACCTGTTTGTCTGGCTTCTTCGCTCTCCATCTTTCTCTGACTCGGCCTCTTTTGCTCTTTATTGCAAGAGAGAGTACGGACAATTTTTTTTTTTTTTGGTCAAAGAATAAAGATGAATAGGAAGGGAAATTGCAAGTTATAAACAAGATTTGATGGTGGACAAGGGGCAAAGCACACCCCACATTTGGCGCAAACCTCGATGTCTTCCACATGCAGCCCACAGCTTGGGAATCCAAAGTTGTTTCTGGATTTCTTTTGGGATAATTTCAAAACCTCGCCTGAAATTTCTGACAATTTTACTAGACTCCCTTAGAGTTTATAAAATTGCACAAATCTCTCTTGAGATTGATGTTTTGATAACAAAATTAGTTTAATTAGAAAAGGTAATATTAAAAAGTACTTGAAAGAGAGAGATGAAACTTTTATTCCATAAATGCCCCTAAGCATGTATATAATTTGTACTAGTAAAAGTTAGGAATAATTAATACACATATTTCACCATTCAAAAAATTCACATTTAATAAATTAGATCATACAAATAAGTAACAAAATTACACTAATAATCACGAAAATTAGTAAAATGGATTAGTCATCTCTTTTAATACAGTATTTTAATGACTTTTGTGATTTTGAACAAAAAAATTTTTGAATTTTGCCGTTCTTTAAACCTCAAAGGAGGTTTCTGAAATGATCCCTTTCTCTTTTTTTTTCTTCTTTTTTCCCTCCAAGAGAGGAAAAAATTAAGTAGATGGGCTTTTTTTTTGTAGTTATACTAGATTCTAATATCTTTCTCTCTTTCATACGCACACATTTTCTGCTATAATGCATATTTTAGAAACATAATATTTCTATCAAATACACAAATATACATTTTTCTTCTTTCTGACACACATTTCTACATACAAAATTCATTCTCTCTCTTTCATTGTCACACTTTCCATATTAGCAGACAAGTTAACAATATAAAAAGCAATAGTTAAAAAATTAATATAATATAAACATAAAATGTATCACTATTGAACTACATAATACACATGGATCAAAATATTTCAATTTAATGCTTGTATTCAGCTGAATATCAAGCAGATTTACATTTAAGATTTAACAAATTAATTCAGCAACTAAATTCCAATTTTAGATTTCAAACTTCAAATTTCAGTTTCATCAAAATCAAATGCCTTTGAGTCTAAGATTCTAGAATTAAATAAAGAAACGCTGTCCACACTAAATTGCAGGACAAGGAACCATTTCTTTATTAATTCATACTACGGGGGACACATTTTATGTCTTTCTTTCTCCGATGTTATTCGAACAAAAGGAGTTAAAAAGAGCATAAGATGGATATATTCTTGCCAAACATTAGGACTTGAACAAGATCAATAATTTGAAACAACATAAACAAATCTTGAAACGAAAACATTTGTATTATTAACAAATGAACCCAAGGAAAACAACAAACTAATTACCTAATATTTAACATCGTTAGAAATTCAACTAAAAGCATTACCAGCCAACACCAAGTTTAAGTTATGAGATGACTCATTCAGAGTATAAAATTATCTATCTCACAAGAAAAAATTTGGCAGCAGAAACAAAAGAAAGAAATGAGGCAGCAAAACAAGAAAGACAGAGTAGGAGCAGTGGTAGACAACAACTTTGTGAGGCAAAAAACATCTTTTATTTTTCAATCTCTTTTACGTTAATTCTAGGGATAATTTCAAAAATCTCCCTTCAGGTTTTTAATAACTTCATCTAGCTCTCTTGAGGTTTTAAAAATTACATCCCTCGTTTTTTAAAATGACAATACTACCCTTAAATGTTTTAATGAAGTTTCCTTGTTTGATATGTTTATACTTAAAATGACTTTAAAATTAATTCTTAATTCTTTTTCCTTCTTATTCATTTTTTTACAATTTTTTGCCAATAAAATTGTAGAATTATCATTTAGTTTCTATTGTAAGCAAATGTCAAACTAGTGATTTTTTTTTTATCAGTTAACTTTATATGCAATCTAATATTTTTGCTGATCTTTGTTTTCTATTTTTGGTATTAAAATCAACAATAAATAAAAAAGAAATTGCCCAAAATCACTACTAAATTATGATAATCCAGCTTCTCAAAAAATTCATAATTTCTAAATAAATTATTTCAACATTTTCTTTTCTATCTTATAAATCTAAATTCATAATAAAATACCATCACAAGTATCCCATCATAGTAATAAAATTATTATTATTATAATTGTTTATCAAATAGTAGTTATGGACATGAAAATTTTGATATCTTTTCCTTATAATTATACTAGATAATCTTATAATTATATACGGAAAGTAAATTAAAACTCATTACACAAGGGCATTTTTGGACATGCACTTAAAAATTTGACTAATTCAATATTATTTTAAAGTTTTTTTTTTTTTTACTAAAACTATCAAATCAAGGGAGGTAAGTGTAACTTTCTAAATCTCAGGAGAGTTCAGTGAAATTGTTAGAAACCTCAGGGAAGGTTTCTGAAATTATCCCTTAATTCTATCATGTATTTATAACTATCTAGAGTCAGTCGTAGCTAGCTTGCAATACCTATCAGTGAAGCATTGATAGCCTGCCTACGACAAGCCAAATTTATATTGACAACCTATTTATAATCAACATGCAGTCCATCTAACTCAATCAAATTTGGCATAAGTGTGACAGCCCCACCTTCCCTTAGAGCGTACCCCAAGGGTTAGCAGATCGCCTGCCCAACTCTCGTCAGAACTCACTCACTCACATTAACTTTAAAAATAATATTAACTGCAAAGCAAGTATAAAATTTTCCAAGAAATATTACACCCATCCAATTTTACAAAACATTCATACTTAGGTGCATAATGAAACGGATCAAAATACAAATAATTCAATCACCTCACCAAATATAAATAGAATGACAATTATTTAAAATTAAGGCTACAACTTTCGAACTCACTATTCTTCAAAATAACATGAACATGCTACAAATCATCCGAATATACCAGCCAAAGTACAAACTAAAAGATAAGAACTTAAATAACTAGTATTATAATACAGTACTGGACAAATACAAGTTTAAAATTTCTAATACAACTAGTACTATTCTTGTCTCTCTCATCCCGCACCCTGTTAAGGAAAACAAATAAAGAGATGAGCTAGAAACCCAGCGAGTTTCCAAGAAAACATGCAGTCAAATTGGCAAAATAGCTTTTACATATCTCAATATCTTAGAACGAAAATAGTAAACAGTTACAAGTAGAGTCATTAATAGCTCAAACATTCAAATAAACAATTTAACACCAGCAAGAAAGGATACGGTACTGATATGGTGGCTTCCGCCAGGTTCTAGGCAGAGCACCCAAGATTCAAACGTTGATACAACTGATATGGTGGCTCTTGCTAAAATTTCGACAGAGCACCTAGGATTCAAAGGTTGATACAGCTGATGTGGTGCTCCTGCCAGATTTCAAACGTAGCACTTAGTCCCGTACAGTGTTTCACTTGCAGCCAATTTCACAGTAACATTTTTCAAATTTGTTGATACTCCGTCAACGTTTGAAATATAGTAACGAGTCCAGTAGAACACCACTTATCTCCAATCTCCGTCCACCGCTCAACCCCCTATCGGGCCCGAACACCAAGATAACAAAAATGGTAACAAAGGTGGTAATATTCGAGTATACCGATTCCAAGGGATGCATCCAATGGATTAAGCAGTAAACAGAGGAGAAACAGTAAACAATGATCAGCACCTATGATTCATCAATTTTCTCGACCAAACCCTTGCTGACTCGATTCGACCAACGAACCAATAGGGGTTTAGGATCCCAAGCAGATATCAAGTCATGAACATTCACATCAATACACTTGTAAACAAGATATCAAAATTTTAGTTAAGTTAGGTCGAATGCGATAAAGTGCATACTCGCCTAAGTGGTAATAAACCAGTTCAAGCAACAAGTCATTTTTGAACTACAAGTAACATGGAACATGCAGTTGAAACACTCAGCAGTTCAAAGCAGAGCAACGATAACATTTGTCTTCGGGTGGCTCTCGAATACCGCCAAACCCTAAGAGCAACTAAGGTAAAGGATATTTATGGTCTAACTATCCAAAATTTAGGTGAACGAAGTTCACATTTTAGACTCAACTATGGGTCATACACCTATCCTAGTTGGCCTCTCAAAACACAAGGGTTCAAAGATAAATTTGGAAGTGCAATTCAAGGAAAATCCAAGTACATACTAGGGCAATAATTCAAGTATAGTTTTTGGATCGAAAGGAAAGCATTTGGACCCAAAAACGTGAGCAGCCAAAGAGTTCCACATTTCATTTCATTGTTGGAAATTTTCAGCAGCAAAACAGTGAAGAAACCAATGTAGTTCACCTCCTTAAATTATGATATTTACTCCAATTCAACACACCATTGTAGTTCAAGATTTTAAGAAGTAAAATGAGCAAGATTGAGTCCAAAAGACCACCAAACCAAAGGACTTTAAGGCTAAAAGACAGCAGGGTATACCACTGTCTTGCCTATCAGAAATTTCAGCAATGAAACAAGCACAATCATGAGGTTTTCACCTTCCAAAATTCATAGTTTTCACTCAAGTTCAACACACAAAAGTCTTAACTAGTGCTTGGAACAAGATTTGGCCTCTTAAAACATAAAATTCAAAGACAACTTGAAAGTGCCAATCGAAGAATATCCAAGTGCAATCTAGGCTATAATTCAAATAAGTTATTAATATGAAAAGAAAACACTTTGATTCAAAAGGTGCAAGAAACCAAAAGAGGAAAATTATATATATATATATATATATATATATATATATATATATATAACTTATGAAACTTAGCAAGACATACGTAAGACATACGCACCATTATTAGAAGAAACAACCAACCTCGAGTCTAAAATTGGGCAAACGAAACTAAAGAGCATGATAGAAGAACCATTACTTTTCCTCTTGCTTTACACGTGGTTTTGTCAAAATTCAACTTATACACCACCATCAAAGTGAACTCAAGCAATCACATGTAACCTAAGTCCAAACCAACCCAAAATCACCTCTCTAACATCACTTCTTTCACAAGAAAGGAAGTAAATGAAATTTCAGCAGCACTTCCCCTTATTTTCTTAACTTTTCCATCCAAACTCAACACCTATATTCATTTCAATCC